CTTACTCACAGGTTTAGCAGTGTTGCATTATTATATATGACATGGCCTTTTTCAGTTAGCCTCACTGTCATATGTCCAGCAGAACTTGGACACTCAAAACTAACATCTGGCCCTCAGTTAGTCCAAAGATAGCCCACCCTAACGGAAGGGACTTCAGGACTGAGAAGTGGGCTCAGCCAAGGCAGAAAGAGAACCAGAAAATCTAAGACTTCTTTTTAATGTTGTTTTATTTTTAACTGAGTGGCCATTAATCTTAACTTTAAGCCCTGCTGTTTTTCCAAATATCACAAGACAGCAGGAAAATACATCACCAGATTTCAGAGGTAACATGAGAGGAGTCTCGTGGGGAACCAGACAAAGTTTGTGCAGGGCGTTTAACTTGGTTATTGAATTTAATCCTTTCTCAGCTTTCACGCATACCATGGAATCAAAGAAAGCTGAACTGGCTTTGTACACAAGATACTAAGCCACTTAAAACCAACCAGAGAACCCACATTGTTACGTTATGCAAATACAGTCCCAAAGTGTGAATTCAGCCATTTCATGAAGGGCCATGTACTGGATTTGAACAAGGCCCTCAGCCAACAAACATTTTTGTAGCAGCTAAAACTCAAGTCTTCTTTCAGCCAAGCTTAATTCTTACTTACCTTTTGGGGGTATTATTTATTGCAATTACTTCCCAATCTAGCCTAGAGCTCTAAGACATCATAATGGTATGTGAGAAAGACCCTGGGAGACAGGGCCAAGAGACACTGCCAAGGGGAATGGTCAGATAAGAGGCAGCATAGCCCACAGCTGCATAACAGACTGAGCAAGAGGCTCAGAAGAGACTCTCCCCAGTTTCTTGAGGTGTAAAGGAGCTGGGGAGAAATGTACCTTCAGACTTGCAAGATTCTGTTAATGTAGCCTTACAATAAAGTAGAATTAGCTCATCGGGTCGTGTTTTCTATCTGGTCTACCTGGGAAGGTGGACAAACATTCTGGTGTGCTTCCTTCCTTTTCAAAAGGACCTGGAATCAGAATTTGGAAAGGAAGAAAGGGGAGGAGCAAGGTGATCCTTCCTGCTGCTCTTGGAATACATTCTTTTTGGAGTAAATTTACCCTGGAGTAAATTCTCTGGGCACACAAAGCGTTGGAATGTTCTGAAAACTTTCATACAACTGTTCTTTCCCGGTTCTTTATTTTTTCCCTAACAATGTACAACACACACACACACATTTGTCGGACTTCATGCTACTGCAATGTTCCACTGCTCCTTTCTACTGCTTGTTTTTCCTGTTTTGTCAAACTCTTAATGATGTTGCTTCAATCATTCTATCAGGAGGCCTTCAGGAGCAGTTGCACGATAGATGCTGTCCAGTGGCTTGGAGAAAACGAAGCTGTTATGCACTTGCTGTGGACGTCTTGTTTCACAGCATGATTTAAAAAACAAAACGTTACTGTGTGAACTGGATCAATGCTTCAAGTAGAAAAGCAGGGACTGAGTCACGAAGCACCACAGCCTTTCTGGAGAGCCCTCTGTTCCAAGCTTAACCAGATGGACAAGAAGTTCCTAAGAAGAAAGGAGTATGAAGGAGCATCTCTTGAGTCCTTAAATATAAAAAAGGGATGAGCAATTTTATTTTTATTTTTGCAGGCAGATACCACTCTTGGAATGAGTTTGGTAGCGGTAGTAGCGGGTTGCAGGAAGCATTGAGGTAGGGCGAGGGTCACTGAGGAGCGGAGAATGTTAAGTTGTTAAATCATCTGAGCAGTAGGCTTTTTGAAAAAGTAAAATAGGTGCCTTCAGCCTTATCATCAAGGTTAGAGACAAGTTGCTTAGCAATTACTATTGTTAAGTATTTCTATCAAAGCAGCAGCTTCGATAAACAGTTTTATTGACCATTTGCAAACCTCAGATTTCCCTAGACCAGTGTTTCTCAAACTTGGCAACTTTAGGACCTGTGGACCTCAACTCCCAGAATTCCTTAGCCAGCAATTCTGGGAATTGGTCCACAGGTCCTAAAGTTGCCAAGCTTGAGAAACACTGCCTTAGATGAATCAAATTCACCCTATTACATGAGGACCCTGCAGTTTGGGCTACATAACCACTGCATTCAGAACCCAGATCCTGGAAAGAGAGAGATAGCTGTTGTAATTTTAAAGCAAAAACATTTCAGTTTCCACTCCAAGAGCTTGGAACCCAGTATGATAGAAAAGGAACATTAAGATGGAAATAAAGTCTGCGGTTGGTGTAGATAATGATGATAAATATTATCCTCCAGGTTGAGGTTGGAGGATATTCATTTCTCAGATCTATAGCATGCACCCTGAAGTCTTCAGTGTGAATTGAACCAACTTGCTTTGTGACCAGATGTTCTATCTGAAGTTTCCAGGAGGCAAAAGCCAAAATGCAGGGTTATTATTCTAATAAATGTACAGTTTAATGGGAAACAGAGCAGCTGTATCTGAAACATCGTCTTATCTCTGGCTGTGTTCGCATGCCAAGCTCCACAAAAATCATAGAATGATTTTAATGGGTTTAAAATAGTATGAGTTTAATGGGACCTTAGAGTCATCTAGTCCAACCCCTGTATAGTGCAGGAATGTAATACATCATCTTGGCAGGTGGCCTATTTGAATTCCACTAGGAAGAAAGAGCACACTCTGGTCTAGGTAGGCTGTTCCACTTGGTTAATAGCTTTTACTGCCATGAAATTCCTCCAAAGCACCAGCCTTCATTTTTTCTTTTAACTCAGTCTAGTGGGTTGGACAAACACAGGCTATGGGGAGAGTTTAGAATTCAGAGTATTGAGCATACCCAGATATTGAACTGAGTAAACCGAGGTTCAGTTAACCTTAGATAAACATGGTGTACAACCTCAGCATTTACACATATATCTAGTGACACCCTGGTCCTCTCCATGCTTTCAAGCCAATCCTATTCACAATAGAATTTCAATGGAATTAGGGCTTCTGATTAACAATAAATAAATCTAAACGTCATCTAGAAGAACTCAAAGGGAAAGTATTTCCTAGGTACTGGATTTGCTCATGTGTAAAAGAACGGGATGGCCTTTCCCCAAGCTAATTTTAGCTACATTTTCCTTGGGGCTAAATTTAAATCTATAATTAAGGCAAAGAGAAAGGGATGCTCAAGTGTCTTCTTAATAGGTTTGCTATTTCTAGAAAAACTCAGTGGGCCTGGATTGTTTATTTCCTGAGCAATCATGCAGAGGGTCAGAGGGTGATCTATTATTTGGTTCATCCCCATGGGATTTTCCTGCTCAAAGCACCTTTGAAAATTGAGTTCAAAAGAAGAGCTGGGTTTGATTGAAAGCTTCAGAAGAGGAGCAATGAATTTCAGCAATGGAGTGAATTATATAAGCCCTTGAAGGAGGCGGTCGGTGAAAGGATCCATGGGGAATAATGACATTGTTTTATACACAGCTATCCGACACGGTGCATTAAAACAAAACAACAACAGCTTCCCATTTCATCGTTAGATTTCTCTACGCATCAGGAGGAACCCGGAATAATAGCAGATGTTGCTAAACTACAACACCTAGCATCCTTCACCACTGTCCCTGCTGGCTAGGAACTGGAGTCCCACAACAGCTGGAGGGCCACCACCAGGTTTCTCATCCACACATTCAAGGGTGTGGCATAAGGTGATTTATTCCTATTTTCAGGGAGGGAGAAATGCCAGAGCTGGGGATAGAAATATAGGGAGAATAGTCATATATTCTCCCTGAGCAAGACCTTAGGTTCATTCAAGTCAAGTCAAGCCAGGTCACCCAGCTTCAATACATCTCCAGACCCATCTGGAAAAAGTTTCTATGTCTACGGCCAACAGGGGCCTTGAACTCAGAGCTCTCTAGATCATTTTCTGCTGCCTTCAGCAATATTTTGGAAGAGATGATCTTGAAAAAATATTACATATTATATTACATCATTTTACATATCCTGTATGATAATAATGTACATGGTAGTGCAGTATAATACAGTGTAGATTATGTCATGCAATATTTAGGATATATTGAATTTCACAGGAATAAAGCTAAATATGGGTGTTCTGGTTTATGAAAAATGCTACCAATTAAGTGGCCAAATGAAACCGCTCAGTTTTGCAGCAGTTAATGTATTTCATACATTTCTGTTGTATGGGCTATCACAATACTCTTCGCTTGCTTGCTTTCTGACTCACTAGAGATTTTTGTATCGATGGGGGGTTGAAAAATGTCAAGATGGCAGGTCCAGCCATGTAAAGGAAGCCCCACCCATTTTTTGGCATGTGTCATGTGGAACCATCTTGACTTTTTGGACCCTCCTAGAGGATGCCCTGCCCATGTGGCACTGACTACAATTTGAGTGTGAGATCCCTACTGTAAGTTACTGGGTTTTGATGGGATTCAACTCAAGCTTGCTGTTAAGCTAGTTTCTGATCCCCCCTTCTTGCTTCCTCTTAGATTGAGTTTTTGGGACGGCAAAGCAGGATCCCCTCCACATTGTCTTAGTGACGTTGTTGAAAGGGCAGAACCGCAACCCGCTTAACTGTTTTGCTTCCACAGGGTTTGTTTCTGGTACTGCAAGAGGTCTCAGCCGGTGGTTGGAAAGAATGAAATTGAGTCAGCCCCATCATGGAAAAATTAAGAATTCTGAATTTATTCATTAGAACTTCAGTTTACATAATTTAAGCCTTCATTTCCCATTCTGGCAGAAAGGTACCTCGTGCGCCATGCTCCTGCTTGGCCCGAGGACCTCCCATCAGCCTTCCATATTTCTTATCATAGTGCTGGTCCCATTAATGGTGGCAATCATGAACCTGATGCCTTTGATTGCAACACAACTGTCTTTGAATTCTTTTCTAGAAGTCGATGAAACACTCCATTCAGAGGATGATTTCAACTTGTTCCTCATTCAGCTCAGATAGGGAAGCATCACACTGAAGAACCACAACTAGGAATATGCCATAGACCTACAATGGACTCCTGACTGAGCCTGGCCATTTGCTCAGACAACTAGGAGGAACCAGAGAATCGGCCCGTCAAACAAGACAGGAGCAGAGGAAGGAATAAATTCGCAGCAAGAGAAGAGCTGCAACTCATGCTGGCATAACGGGAAGCATAGACCGTGCGACCGTTGAGAAGCTGTAAAGGACGGAAGTTGTTGATCATTTTCTGCGGCATCCCAGCCAAACTTCTGAAGTACGTGGTGTCCACAAATGTGTTCAGCTAAGCAAGGGAAAGAGAGAAAGAGAACAGAAGGCGTGATCTACAGCCAGCCCAGCTGACCTGCACATTTGTCAAAACAGCAATTTTGACAACCCTGAAATGTGGATAGTTTTTGCTGGGGGTGAAAAGACCAGCATCAAATCCAGCAGGGGGGAGGGGGAGAGTTGTTACCTGAGATCTGCTGATCGGTATCTGCTCTTCAAACACTGTCCAGATGACCACTTCTTCACAGTTTGGCGTGGTGAGAGATCCTTTGTAGCGGTAATATTTGGACAGTGAGGCTAAGCTGGGGAGAAGATTGCTCAGGGAAAAGGTGGATGCCATGTCAACGTATTCTCCTAGGCAAAAGGACAACCATGGTTGGTGAATAACAAGCTGCATTCTGGATTGGTGCAGGATAAGGTGAAAGGAAGTAACGGCTGTGTGCCAGATAACCAGTACTATATTCTCATTCAAAGAAAGCACACAAGATTTGGTGTTCTCACCTCAGAATCTCAGGAGCTGTTGAGTGCTTCCAATTGATTTGGCTACCCAATAGGACTACTGGTCCTCAGGCTACTAGAGGACTGATGACAACAATTTTGAGCTTGGTAGTAGGCTTCCTCCCCCCCTTAGAAAGCTAGGGTATGTCACACTCACTTCAGAAAACCTGCTTCAACAAAGTTGTGTTTCATGAAAGCAGCCATATCTTATTCCAGGCTTGTGTGGCTGCAGTTGAAGCCTCCCCACAGCGGCCGCACAGTCTGGGGGAAAGACATGGCTGCTTTAATGAGTCATGGACAGAAGTTGCATTCATCCTCCAGTGCAGAATGCCAAGCACTGGAACAAGGTGCTCACCTGCACGAGAGATGTTTCTCAGGCTGGCAACGACAGTGTTGTAATTGGTGTTATCAGTGTCTGAGATCTGCATTACAATGAGAAGAGAACAATTCTATAACCTTCAAGGCAGCCAAATGCAGAAGAAGTAGGTGGACATCTATTGTCCTCTACACAGGATAGCCCATTATCCAAAAGGATGTTTTTTCCAACTCTGGTTTAAATAATAATAACAACAACAACCAGTTCTTGAAGCTGGCCACCCAAGTTAGCAGCATCTGGACTACAAATTAAAATTGATCCAGTTCAACGCAGACTGTCAAAACAATCTGAGGGAAAAAATTCATAGCATCGTAAGGGGTGAAGGTAGCTTAGAGACAATATATATTGTGATCCCCTGCTCGGTGCAGACTCTACTGCAGTATCTCTGATAGATGGCTCTCCAACCTCTATTTTGAAGACTTCCAGTGAAGAAAGAACTCACTGTATATTGTGGCATAACCCCACATTCAAATTAATTCAGAGGCAGCCAATTCAATCTGACATTTCAAATGGTCCATACAACTCTAAATTCCAACTGATCTCAGAAATCCGATTGAACTACCACCCAAACTCTGAATCAAACATTTGCTTATCCTTATTAATAAATATCTATAGTTCCAAGATTATTATTCCTCTAAACATAAAGACACTTTAAAAAGAGAGAGACAGAGAACAACTTCGTTTCTTCTTCTCACAGTTCTAAATTTCTCTTTACCACCATGAGATCTAGACACCTTTAAAAAAAAAAAGCAGACATATGATTAGCTCATATGTTGGGCTGGAAATAGACTTTCTCACAGAAGTTCTGTTTTTTAGTAGGTGCACAACATGGGTTAATTTGGGTGGGAAAGAATCCCCCATCAGTGTGGAAACCTTTCCATTGTCAGGTTAAGAGGTCTTGTGGAACTGCTTCTGAAGTCAAGTCCTGAATCAATTCCCATGCAGAAGGTCCAAAGTTTTTTATTTATTTATTCAAACTCGATGCTACCCAATTCCAACCAAAGTTCAATTCCCAGCATCTCAAGCTAGTTTAAGAAAACTCACTGATGCTGAGGAAGAAAAGGAAGTGTTTTCAAGCACCCTTAACAAACAGCAGATGAATATTTCAGTGTCAGGCTTAGCTGGATAAAAGGCAGTTAGTCCTTAGTTTCCCAGTCTGGGAAGAACAAACAACTCAGAAACCTTAATGAACTCACTCATAAATGGAGTGGGGTTTGCTTATTCAGTTTCCAAAGACTCCTAATCTTTACTTCTTGATGTTAAGCCTAATCAAAGAAATGTGGAGTCCTTGGTGCTCTCTGAGCTTGGTGGTTTGCTTGCAGACGTTTCATTACCCAACTAGGTCACATCATCAGTGCTGGTGAGTGTGAGGTTGGCTCCCTGTTTATATACAGTAGCCTGCCCTGCCAGTGTTGTTGGGGGTGTGGTTTCCTCCTTGGTAGTTCTCTCCTTGGTAGTTCCTTCTCCTTGAACTACCAAGGAGAAAACCACAGCCCCATCAACACGGGCAGAGGAAGCTACTGTATATAAACAGGGAGCCAACCCCACACTCACCAGCACTGATGATGTTACCTGGTCGGGTAATGAAATGTCTGCAAGCAAACCACCAAGCTCAGAGAGCACCAAGGACTCCACTGTTCAACCCTGAGCTACAGATCTTCTCTTCTATCCTAAGCAAAGAAATTCCAGGCAAACATTGCTTCTCTAGTTGTGCTCTGCCATTAGAGGCTCAGCAACTAGGAGCTCATAGCACCCCCTGTCCTTGAATGACAAAACTTTGACATAATGGCAATTATCTCTTGGGGGGTACCTTGAACAGGAAACTCAGGACAGCGAGCCCATTTGGATGTTCCTTAGCTTCACTGACGGTTTTGTATTTGGTGTTCATGTGTACAATGTGCAGCTGTGAAGAAAGGAACAGAAGGACCGGTCACTTTTCTCCATTCCAGGCAGGCAAACTCTCCTAAGTGCACTCCTGTCTCCCCATGTTCTTTGCTTCTTAGATAGCCAGAATTCTACCACTATTCAGCACACACAGGATGTCTGGAGAGTTTCCTTTAGAATTTTTTCCCCTTTCTCTTTTCCCCCTCTATGTTTGCGAAATTCATAATTTCCTCAAAGAAACCCCCATCAACCTCTAAAGGCAGAAATTATGCTGTTTTGGCTATGTTATCATTGGCCCTTACCTTCCAAAAACTGGGAGGAAAAAAAGATTTGGAGTTGTTTTCCCAATGTTTTCAACACATTTGGGGGCAATTATCACATGAAATAGTTCCTTAATAGAACATCATAATGTCCTGGGTCTCTGCCACCTTTAGTGCCACCTTAAGCCAATATAGTGTGGCTTAAACCCAAATGAGGATCTAGAGAATTTCAGAGGAAGTCACTCCCCTCATGGGTGTGCTGTCACCTACTCACGTCTGCAACAGACTTCGCAGTTAGACTCAGAAGGACTAAACAAGCAATCTTTCTCCAATGCAAGCTTTAACTTTTTGGCAGCCTGGGGGAGGACACCAAACCACAAACTCTGACAAGTCTGTAGTGGCCTCCATGCTAGGGATATTCTTCTCCCATTTGATCTCTTCTCTCGTTCCATTCTGTAAGGTGGCAAAGACCTGCCTATTCCAACAGGCTTCTAGCCCTATCAACAATCATACATTCAAGAATGATTATGTGGCTGATGTTCAGTTTTTATTGTAGATTGCTCATATTCCCAATGGGTTGGGATCCCAATGGGTTGGGATGATCCATAAGTAGTTCAGATCTTGCCAAAAAAAAAAAAAAAAGAATGGAGCAAATCAGACATTTCTCTGGGATTGGGGAACAGGAGATAGGAACAGTCCGTGTTTTGAATGTATTGTAGTTTTATGGTTTTAATACATAGTCATGTGTTTATTTATTTCTATTTATAGACCACCATAAACGGATCAATTGCCCGCACTTTACCAAGCCATTAGAAAACAAGCAGGTAATAAAATCCAAAAATAAACAATAGTCCATGTTATGGGTTTAATATAGGGTAATGTTATACTTCTCAAGATGATGCCATTTTAACTGGTTGTAGCCACATTAATACTGCAATATGATTTGAAGATTTAAATCGATTTTGGATTTAAGTCCTACTTCGTCCTATAAGGGAATAATTAGAGGGGTAATGAAGAGTAGTCATACATTGGATAAAATAATTAATGTTGAACTGGAACAGCTGTTCTGCTCCGTTCACCAATATCCAGGGAGGGCAAGGAAGAAATGCAATGAAGTTTGAAAGCCAGAATGCTGATTTGTAAATCATGAACGGATAGTGCAATTCCTGAACTCTGAAAAGGTCATGGAAACTTCTGAAAAGCAATAACATTCAGTCAGTTCTCCAGTTCCTTACTTGACAGTTAAAAGTACATAAATGAAATGACAGGGGGCTCAAGATCAACCTGAACTACTTGAAAGCCCTTTGATGTCTTTTCCATTATGAAGAGTTGGATTGTCTTTCTTGAATGAGATCAAAAGGTGGTGCCCCTCGGCTTGGCCTTAATTAATACCTTCTTGGTTTGAAATACAGAGAACTGATTTGGGGTTGTTGACTGCATGCGATTTAATTGGGTGGTGTTCCCTTTGAACAAGTATCCAGTAGATGTTTGCACCCCCATCCCCCCTTGCACACTAAGAAAGCAAAACAATTCTTGGAACTGTCCCGATGAAAGCTGTGTTGAGGATCTCTTCTTCCTGAGCGTTTTTCTTCATCGTGAGCCAAAAAGGACTTGCTTGCCAGTCCCCCAACTGCCATCTCAGCAAGGAAGAAAAAATCAGTGATGTTCTGTCAGATGCTATAAAGGATTCTGCCACACACTTCAGCATTTTGGCTGCAAAGGGAGAGGTGGTTTCTCTGACTTCTTGTACAATATAAAGCCTCCCTGTCTTTCCATTCAGTCCTAGAGAAAACATCAGAGGGAGGTCCACCCGGGGGCTTTCCCAGAAGAGCAACTAAGGAGACTGCAGGTTGGTGGAGAGATCAGGAACATAAAAGAGCAATGCCATTCAGCACTGTGCAGTGACAAAGTAAACTCAAAAACACACCCCTCTGGAAGGATGAACTGCCCTGAAACAAGAAAATGTGGCATGCAACTGTTAAGGCCAACATTTTTTTTCTCTATCGTGGTCCATTTGGTGAAGAACTTGGACAGTTGCAGAGAAAAGAAAAGTTGAAATTCTTTAGAATTGCTTGCCAAAGGCCACACAGGTTCAAAAGAAAGTATAAAAGAACCCAGAGCAGATAGACAGAAGGAGCGGGGCTTGTCCTTCTAGGCTGAGGAGAAGATGCTGCTGGAGGGGAAAGCAATGGGATGTGGAGCAGAGGAGGTGAGGGCTGGAAGGTCCAAAAGTTAGAGGATCCAGCATCCAGGGAGAAATGAGAAAGACTTGGAAGCCAAAGAAGAAATCGCAAAAAGAACTGGCAGGAAGAAAAATACAGATGGTGGAGACCAAACTCCAAGTGGTTCAGGTGCTGGATAACTGAGTAAGACCATGCTAAGGAGAGATGTTGCTAGACTTCCTATATCTGTGCTGAAGATAACTAAGTGTGGAAGGAGGCAGACACTAACAGCTAGATGTTTGTCTTCAAAAGTAAAGGAGTAGAAATTTAAGATATTTAGCTAAGCTTTGTTGATTTACTGCAGTGTTTCTCAACCTTGGCAACTTGAAGATGAGTGGACTTCAGTTCCCAGAATTCCCCAGCCAGCATGGCTGGCTGGGGAATTCTGGGAGTTGAGATCCACACATCTTCAAGTCACCAAGATAAGATATTTAGCTAAGCTTTGTTGATTTACTGCAGTGTTTCTCAACCTTGGCAACTTGAAGATGAGTGGACTTCAGTTCCCAGAATTCCCCAGCCAGCATGGCTGGCTGGGGAATTCTGGGAGTTGAGATCCACACATCTTCAAGTCACCAAGATTGAGAAACCCTGGTCTACTGTATAGTTAGATGTATTAGTGTACACATTGATCACTATGGATAGGTGCATAAACACCTATTCACTGAAAGTCTTGAAAATATACTTTGCACTAAGCTCATATAGCCATAAACAGCACAGTATATACTTGCTAATTCTGTGTGTATGCATCTGGTTTGTTCCTATCCATCTCCCATCCTTTGATAACCACACCCCCTCCCCCCCAAAAAAATGATATACCAGGTGAATGAGATGGGGAAAACGCTCTGCGTATAGAGCAAGAACATTTTCAGCATAGTTTCAGGTGCACCCAAAAGCCAACATATCAAAATCAATGCTTAACTTACTTCCATAGGGAACTGTATCCCATCCATATAGTGCTCTGAGCCATTCCTCTTGAGGTCACCCCAATGGAAGTGGAACTGAAAGGCCCGGTAGATGTCCCTCAAACCTCCTCTGGTGATGTTGATTTGTTCTGCAGCAGATGGTCCATCCAGGGTCATTTTGACTACAGGGAAAGCCAGCTTGTAAACCGAGTTTCAGAGACAAGAAAGGACCACTCTGCCAACCTGGGAGCTAACCAAGCTTCCCCACCCCTTCCAGCCTTCTGGGAGAAAATATTAGAGGAGCTACAGGCCAGAAATGCGGATGTGCTAGATACTGGATGGTAGGGACAGGAGAGGTTGAATGATCCAGCCTGTCTGAATGCAGAAGGTCCCAACCTCCACACACATTTCTCCAAGTGAGATCAGAAAATCCCCAGTTTGAAGTCCTGAGAATCCATTCCCCATTGATAATGCCAGTCCTGTCCTAGAGGAACCAAGTCTCAATTTTATTAACAATGGCTTGCTAGTTAAGCCACGAATGACTAGGCGCCCATTGCACTAGGCCTTGGTTGACAACCCCCATGGTTGGGCTCATGTGACATGTTCAGACCAAACCGAGGAATCCATATTATGGCTTAGGGTCATGTCCAAACCCATGGATGGTATTTAGCACATTCTGTAAGAGGGAATGGATGGAAGTCCAACAGGAAATCCCAACTTCCTGGCTCTTTTGTCAGCTTTATAATCTTGGTCTCCATGTCATTCAATATTTACTTATTAGATGTATATCTTCTTTTCATTCAGAAGTTCTGGGTGTCTGACAAAGCCCTCCTTCCTTCCTTTCTTCCCCTCATCAAGTTGAGTTGAGAGAGAGACTGACTCACAGTTACTCTGGGAGCTTCCATGATAGGATGGGGGACTAGAACCTGGGTCCCCCTATTCCTAGTCCTACACTTTAACCACTACAGCACATTGGCTCCTGGCCAGAGAGGGAGGGACTGGACTAAACTCACCAGGGCCCTTTTATGGCCAAGGATGGACTTGAACCTGGATCTCCCTGCTCCTAGTGCAATATATTCAGCTCTACGGCACACTGACCCTCTAAATAAAATATCCCCCACTTCAAAGTAGATCTCATTTGAATGCAACTGCTGAGTGGTAACTGAAGAAGACAGCTTTGGGTGCAAGATTTGGAAAACGCCTGCAGAAGGAGCCCCAACCTCCTTGGCTCACCTTCATTCCCACTGTTCATTAACCTCCATCTGCCTGGAGGGGCCTGGTCATAACCTTCAAACAGAATTTCACCCAGGCTCCTGTCCCGTTGTGTTTTTCTTCGATCGATGTTAATGGGCGACTGGTTCTGTCCCCCGCACCCCGACGTGATCTCCTTCCAGTGGGAAGGGCCTAAAGAGACCAGAAGAACAATGCAGAGCTAGGACTTTGCAAATCTTTGGCTGAGATGAAAAGCAGCTTGCCTTGATTGGACAGGATGAAGCCCAAGAATAGAGCAGCTTATATATACAGTAGGTAAACCCAAGGAAGTCTAACTACACACATTCTAGTGCAAATTAGCATGATCTCGGCTTTCTGGGTCAAGGTCTGGATCAGAACGCTGCTATCAGCCACCTTTTGTACTTCTTCAAATTTTACAGTCCCAAAACAGTTGCAGCATGCAATTAAAAAGAACAAATGCATTGGGAAGTACTAGTTTAAGGACGAAACATATCAGCAGTGTTTAGGAGCACATCTTTCAGAACACAAGGTCTGTCTTCTGTTCTTCATAGTATATACCCAGGGTTCATCAGTGGCTAGCTTCCTGTAACAAACAAAACCACAATTCCTGGTTCACATGACATGCTATAATGGTATGTGGGAATGACCTTGGGAGACTGGGCCCAGAGATGCTGCCAAGGAACAGTCAGATAAGAGAAGGCATAGCCCACAGCTGCATAATAGGGAGAGCAAGAGGTTCAGAAGAGACCCTCCCTAATTTCTTGGGGGTAAAAGAGACCATAAAGAAGGCTGAGCGCTGAAGAATTGATGCCTTTGAAGTAGCTTGTTACCCTCTCCGTCGTTTGAAGGGGTCCTTGGTCCAATATCCTCTTGGCATCTATTGGCAACCTCTGGTTGCAGTTGGTTTCAATACAGGGCAAAGGACATTACCATTTCTAGCAATACTCCAGAAGCTGCCCAGAGATCCTTAGAAGGCCTTCTTTTGCTTTAGCTAATTTAGTTAACATATTATATGTTCTGAGGTCTCTCCTTTGGCACAGCCATAGTCCCAAGCTGGTAAAACTCTTAAGAAAGAACCGGTAAGGCTGAAGGTTGCTTGGATGGGAAGATGAGGAACTTCATCTATTTTCTGGGCCTTCCATTTTCCTTCAATGTATTCAACACACAATTAGGATCATAAATTGTCCTCTCTCTACTCAACAGGTACAATTTGCAGGGAAAGCATTCTCCATATATATATTTCTCTGCTCCCAGATCAATATTCATTGCTACCAATTATGACAACCTTGATGTAACAACAGGAAAGGGAGTTTTCTTTCAGCATCTCCATCCAGCATTGGTTAAATGGAAGCAATTTATATTGATCTCTTTTTCTAAAAGCAGGATTCTGGTAAAGATCAACACTCTGCCAGAAAATTTGTTCTCTACAGATGCTGCACCCAACAGAATCATTAACTTTCCTTAGTTGTTCCTTCTACCTTCCTTCTGCGACAACCTTCATTAAACTTCAGGAGCAGGGTTTTGCTTATTTATAATTCAACAGGATTTCCTTGCTGGGCCTATATTTAGTCTGACAGATTAAAAAAGCTATTCTAGCATCTGTGAGTGTTTCTAAAGAGCATCAGCTCCATTCTCATTCTGTTTTACTTTCAGCATCTCTACGTTACTGGTCATAGCCAAGAGGTAGGCAACATGGGCCTGTGGGTATCTCCCTTAGGGCTTGGTAGCCTCCTTTCTTCACTTGACCATTTTGGGGTAAGTTTATTTTTAATAAAAATATAAAACAAGGAAGCCACCACCTCCGGGACTCTTTCCAAAAAAGGCTTCTGTGCTCCAAATAGATTCTAGAGAAAATAAAAAGGTGCCTCTGTGAGTCAGAGTTTTGCTTAGATGCCAACCCATCTGGTTAGAAAAAAACGAAGATATAGAAGAAAAGCCAGATTTGTAGAGTTGGGCCACCAGAAGGAATGGTGGAAGCATGCTGTCTGGTTTATGACCGGGGGCATGGATATTTTGAGATTGTGTCTGTACACCTGGCATCCACAGGATGCTCTTAAAATTCTATAAATGCCCATGAATTATGGAAGTTTTCATTCTTCATAAAATGTGGAGTTTTCTGTAAAAGTTAAATATTCTAAGCAGCCCATCAGATGCGTGGATGCTGGAGCAGCATTCAAAAGTATGTCCATTTATTTATTTATTTATTTATTTAATTTGTCCCCACCCATCTCCCCACAATGGGGGACTC